GCAGGAATGCAAGGAGACAGGCCGATTAAGTGGGGTCCAGGGAAATCAAAGGGACAGGCCTGACTGCTGGAAGAACATTCGGTATGCAAGTGAGCTGGTCCTGACTCAGTTTGGGGTTAGTGATGGTGGAGGTGGTGAGCAGTGGGGAATTCAGAAAAGATGCACTTGTTAATGGACTGCCTGTCAGAGGACTGACTACATGATTTTCAGGGCCCTGTGAAAAATGAAAATGTGGGGACATTGTTCAAAAACTGTTAAGGATTTCAAGATGGCAACAGCTGAGCTTTCTACCAAGCACGGGGCCCTTCTAAGTGTGAGGCCCTGTACGACTGTCCAGGTTGCACACCCATGGCCACACCCAGGGCTTGCCTACCACAGCCCCTGATCCCACTGGTGGCTCAAAGCTACTGCCACCAGCCAACACCAGCTTCCGGGCCCAGGCCCTGCAGGGGCACAGGTCTAGGGGCCTCCAGAAGGCCCTGCTACTTGCAGGCGTGAGGGGAAGGGGAGGGAAAATGCCACCTCACATTTTTTTGGTCTCAAAGACACTCTCCCTGTCTTACCCCTAGGTTCTTCATGACATTTTTTTCCCTTAAATTCCATATATATGTGTTAGCATACGGTATTTTTCTTTCTCTTTCTGACTTACTTCACTCTGTATGACAGACTCTAGGTCTATCCATCTCATTAAATATAGCTCAATTTCGTTTCTTTTTTTGGCTGAGTAATATTCCATTGTATATATGTGCCACATCTTCTTTATCCATTCATCCGATGATGGGCACGCAGGAATAAAGACACAGACCTACTGGAGAACGGACTTGAGGATATGGGGAGGGGGAAGGGTGAGCTGTGACAAAGCGAGAGAGAGGCATGGACATATATACACTACCAAACGTAAGGTAGATAGCTAGTGGGAAGCAGCCGCATGGCACAGGGATATGGCTCCGGGCTTTGTGACCGCCTGGAGGGGTGGGATAGGGAGGGTGGGAGGGAAGGAGACGCAAGAGGGAAGAGATATGGGAACATATGTATATGTATAACTGATTCACTTTGTTATAAAGCAGAAACTAACACACCATTGTAAAGCAATTATACCCCAATAAAGATGTTAAAAAAAAAAAAAAAAAAAAAAAAAAAAAACCCCCCCCCCCCCCCCGCCACTCCAACCTCTGCCCTGGAGAGGGTGCAGGGCAAGGCCCGACAACAGGTCAAAATGACCTCTGTGAATGTGTGCACGCGCGCGCGCGGCTTCCGAGTGCGACTCTTAGAGCTTGAAAGAGACCGCTGTCCCAGGGCTCCTCTGCCTCCCAGGGGACTCTGCAGTCGCCTCCCAGAGGGTCCCCAAAGAGAGGAATCTCCCGGCCCGCCCTCTGGCCCTTCCGCCCCAGTCTCCCTGTCTGATGAGGGAGGCGGGGGCGCACACCAAAGCTGCTCGCCTCAAGCCGACTCGGGCTCCCGCAGCCCCGGAGAAGAGAGCCGGAGGGGTCCGCCCGGGGGGGACTTGGCCCGGAGAGGTGGGTGTGTCCGAAGCGGACCAGTGAGCGAGCGGAGAGCGGGGGCCGCCCCGCCTCGCCCCCGGGACTCGACTCCCCGCCCCCAACCCGGAAGCCCGCGGCGGCGCGCGCAGCCCGCGCCCCCGACACTGACCCAGCACCATGGCCGCGACCGCGCCCCTGCGCGACTGCCAGGTATTCGGAGGCCGCCTCGGCCCCACGACCCCGGGGGTGGCGGGATCAGCCCTGCCAGCGGTCCGGCGGGGACACGGCCCCCGAGAGACGGGCACGCCTTCTGGGCGCACGGAAGGGACCAGAGGACCCTACTGTGACCCCCGCCTCCGGAAAATCTGCGGCGCGGGGCCCCGACCCGCGGAGACCCCAGGTCCTCCTAAAAAGCTTAACCCCTTAACCCCGGCGCAACACAGCGGGGACGCTGGGCATTAGTGAGGGTCTTCCACGGGACCCGCGGGGGTAGGGAGCCTGGGCCCATTTTGCACTTGAGGAAGGGGCGTTCAGAGGAGCGAGGGGACCTGCGCACAGCCACTCCGAGGAGCCGCCCGCCGGGCTGGCCGGAGTAAAGGTCATTTCTCCATACCGGGGAGTCACCGGTCTGTGCGCCCCTGGCAAGACACCGAGACAGCGATTACACTGAACAGTTCAGTTAGTTGGAGATGTTTCCTGAAGGTCTGAACTATCTGGTAAAGTGGCGAGATGAGAGGAATTGTTTTGGTGGTTGGCACCTTGCCAGCCAGGTGGCAGGTCCACCCTCCTGGTTTTGCCCTCGGCACCAGCCCTTCTTCTGCCCTGGCAGACCTCCCTGATCAGGGACTGATCAGGGACTCCCCCTTACTGAGCGTCTGCTCCCTGGTAGACACTTTACAGTCACCCCATGTATCCTCCAGTGCCCCATTTCACAGAGGGGCCAGACAGGGGTCAGAGGGAGGACCTTGCCTGAGGGCACTCAGCTACTTAGAGGCCCCTGGGATTTGCATCAGGATCTGTCCCACCCAGGGCTCAGCTCTCTCTACACTGCACCATCTATGAAATCTGGAAGTCTGTGCCTGCCCCACAAGGATGGGTCTTGTGGGAAGCCCATACCTGCAGGATGATAGGCATTAGCATCTTCGGTGCTTGGGGGTTGGGGTTCGTGTGTGTGTGTTTGGAGGGCTACATGGAATAAGACCCCTTCTTGCTGTGTGTAGGCTTGGAAGGATGCCGGGCTCCCTCTCTCAACCCCAAGCAACGAGGCCTGCAGGCTGTTTGATGCCACCCTGACCCAGGTACGCCCGTGGAGAGAAGTGGTGGCCCCTTCTGTAACGGTCCAGGGGGAGGTTTCTTAAATTGGTGAATGGTTTTTATTTTCATTAAAAACATTTTTTTGGGTGCATCTTACAGCTGCATTTATTCGTGCCACAAGTAAATGGTACTTCCACGCGTGCACAGTGATGCTGTAGCTCCCGGCTAACACAGCTTGCTTAAGTTTACAGCCAAACTGCCTGTCAGCTGATGTGCTCTCCAAGTAAAGCTGGTCAGCGATGACGTGAGCAGGCACGGGACTCGAAGCTTTCAAAACTTTACATCTTTATCCTGATTTTATAAGCAATGCAGCCCGTTAACCCCATTCCTGCCCAAACCTCCTGGTAAACTTAAGTATATTAGGGCTTCCCGGGGACCTGAACGTCCTTCATAATGCTTTGAAGCATCCTTGCACAGGACCAATGGCTCAGGCTGCTCCAAAGCCCCACAGTCAATGGCTCAGAAAGTGATGGATGCTTTTTAAACTGCATGCGGACTTGAGAAACCGACTGCAACAGAATCCATATACCTGTACCCCCAGGGCGTGGGAACAGTTCTGCCTGCCCAGGGCATGGCTGAGAGGTCCCCCAAGTGGCAGGCGTTGGCCTGTGAGGGTGCTGAGGGTTTGGTATGGGGCTCCTCCATTTAAGGCATGGGGCCCCTCTCCTGGGGCTAATCTGTGAATATACTGCTCCCACCTATGGCTGTTCTAAGACATTCCACCGTATTACCAGTGATTTCTAACACCAGTGAAGGAGCCTATAGTCTTAGAACTAGGGGAGTCTCAGAGGTAAGGTCCATATACTTTGCTTGACAGGTGGGGAAACTGAGGTCCAGAAAGCTGAGCTGACTTTTGCAGTGAGTTAGAGCGGCAGGATGCACCTAGGTCTAGACACACTGATGGAAAACTAGAGCTGGGCTTTTTCAAGGGCGGTGAAATCGCTACCTACTGATTCTGTCCATGCAGCATAAAAAGGGCCATACAAGAAACTACTGGTGAAATGCCGTCAGCTTGCCAAGGGCCTCCACTGTGTGCATTTGAGCTCTTTGTCTGTTTGTCCCCTTCCCGCAACTTTTGGCCTCTGCAGAGCACAGTTTGTTGCGGGGAAAGTTCCCCAGTGCAGCGGCGGCCACCCCACCTCTCCCGCCACCCCTGCTGTGCGTCTGCGTCTTTGTGCCAACTCCCTTGTGTGTTGTTAAAATACATGTGCTAATTCTGTGTAGATGTAAGTTGGACAACTGATAGGGCACATTCTAAAATCTAATGCATTATTATGGTTTTAGGATTTTTAAAAATTAAGACCTGGGTCAGGTATTTTTCATTTAAAATGTGTTTGCTGCGACTTCCCTGGTGGTCCAGTGATTAAGAATCTGTCTTGCAATGCAGGAGACGCTGGTTCAATCCCTGGATGGGGAACTAAGATCCCACATGCCACGGGGCAACAAAGCCCGCCTGCCACAACGAAATATCCCGCGTGCCACAACTAAGACCCGACACAGACAAAAAATAAATAAATAATAAAAAAAAAAATTAGGGGCTTCCCTGGTGGCGCAGTGGTTGAGAATCCCACACGCAGCAATGAAGACCCAACGCAGCCAAAAATAAATAAAATAAATAAATTTATTTTTAAAAAATTAGGTATTAAAAAAAAGACTGGAAACAAATACACCAAATTGTCAAAAATGATAATGAGATGAGATTAAGGATATTTTTGATCTTTTGGCTTTCATGCCTCTTCCTTTCTATAATGAATGTTTACTGTGATTCTTTTTTAAAGGAATGAATAGGAAATAGCAGGGTTCCTATTTTGGTACCCAATGTCAAGGCCCCTCTTGGGGCCAGCAAGGCCGACACTGTGGGCAGGTCACCTGTCAGGAAGAACCTTCCTTTAGATGTGTCTTTTTTGGAAATGGTGGCCTCACCAGCCCTAGAAAATGTGCCTTGAGTTCCGTGTATTCAGTCTCTTCATATGAAATCAACCCAGTTATGTTTTCTTTGAGCTAAGGTCCAGAAAATACTAGTGTTCTAGAAAGAAAGAAAAAAAAAATCAAGGTTTAGAAACAAGCCTTCATTTACATGAACTAAAAACTCCCTGGGGACAGCTTTGTTTAACCTTTTAAATTTCAGTACGTGAAATGGACCAATGACCAGAGTCTTGGTGGCATTGAGGGCTGCCTGTCAAAGCTCAAAGCAGCAGATCCGACCTTCGGTGAGTGATGCTTTCCCTGGGTTGAGGAGCCCCGTTTCACAAGTCCAGCCCCTCACTGTTTCCCTGACTGCAGGACTCAGCTGGGTTGGGGAGGGCAGGGCTGGTGGCAGTGACCAGGTTGGGAGGGAGGGAAGGTGATAGCCACCACTGTGCTTAGAATAACAGCTGCTCCCATAAAGATGCCAGGTTCTGTAGAAGGTGTCTTTCAAACGTTCTCCTTAAGACACTGATCCCATTTCTCATATGAGGAAACTGAGATTCAGAGAGAGTAGAGAGTAAGAAATATACCCAAAGCCACCCAGCTGGTAGTTGGGGCGCTGGGATCAGACAAGGCTGTCTCAGTCCAAAGCCTGGACCCCTCGGAACACAAGAACTGGCCATTGCAGCCTCTCTGGGCACTAGTGAGGCCAACCCCACAGCAGCTGTGACGGGGGAGGGCCGACCTGGTGACAGAGGCTGCCATCACAGTCAAGCCATGTGCGTGGCAGGCACGCGGCGGGGTCAGCCCAGTGCATTCTGGAGCCCCAGGAGGGTGGCCCAGTGTGGGTGAGGTTCTGGGCTGGGCAGAAGGGCTGAGGACGGGAGGGCAGCAGGGACCCCCACTGTGGCCAGGTCCCAGTGAGGGCAAGGGGCGCAGAATAGGGGATGAAGGGGCTGTCACAGGAGCCAGTGTCCAGGTGTGGGCTCAGGTTCTCCGAGCAGACCCTGGCCCCAGGTCAGAAGCAGGGGCCACATGGGTGGTCCTGGCACTGTGGTTGGGCCCTAGATCCCAAGCCTGGGCCAAAGACTGAGTTCCAAACGCCAGCAGATACCCTTCCTCTGTCAAGGTGGGGGCTGGGAAGCCCAGGTAAGACCTGGGGGCCAGCACACCTGCCAGCAAGGCTGCTACAAGGGCCACAAGGCACACCCCCGTCTTCCTCGGCCCCCGAGCTCTCAGCGAATGAGAACAGCCGAGACAGGATCATGGTTTCTGTCCTCTGGGGACCAGCCCCCCGACAGCATCTACCGGGTGGCCCTTGGGAGGCCCTGTGCTGGTGGTAGTGACAGTAGCAGCTGAGAGGGAAGCAGGTGGGGCTCCAGAGGAGCCCGTAGGCAGCCCCTAACCAGTTCACCTGGTGAGGGGGGCGCAGGGGCTCCACACGTTGGCACTCCCCAGAATGCCCTCCACGTGCCTGGTGAGGAGCTGAGTTCCGGGCTGTCGGTGGGGACACACCCTACCGGCCACCTGGCTTGCCCCTCCTGGTACGTTGGGTGTTTATTTCACATGCGGGGCTGGGCTGGGCTGGGTGGGACCGTCTGAATCACCAGCTATTTTTCCACCTTTTGCCAGCCCTGGGCCACGCCATCGCTAATGGCCTCATTCTGATTGGCACCGGAAGCTCCGTGAGGCTGGACAAGGAGCTGGACCTGGCTGTGAAGACGATGGTGGAGATTTCCAAAACTCAGCCCCTGACGCGGCGGGAACGGCTGCACGTGTCTGCAGTAGAGACCTTTGCCAAGGGGTGAGGGGCCTCCCCGGGGCTGGCGCTCCGAGGCCACACTGGGTGATGCCACGGGCTGCCCCCGCGCCGGGCGGAGGGGGCCTCGGGGGGATTCTCACCCTGACTCCCGTGCCCGCCTGATTGAGAATCGCATCCTGCCTACTGCTCTGTCCTCAGCCGACTGCTGAATGAGGAAGTGGTTGGTTAGGACTCCCAGGTTGGCATGCAAAGCAACTTATCGTGTTTCGTTAAATAAATTGGTTATTACTTTCATTACAAAAATAGTAGAACCACAGTACAGAAATAGATAAGAGATAGGAGAAAGAAGAAAACCCTCGCCCTTATGCTCCTGGCACTCACACACCTGTGAGCATCTGTCGTTCCCGCGGCTGTCCGTCCCCGTGTGTGGGAGTCCTGACCCTGGTGCCAGCCCGCAGGACAGCCCCTGTGTCTGCTTGGGCAGGAGAGATGCCCGCAGAGCTGGGTGACCTGAGCTGATGCTACAGGCGTTCTGGAGCAGTGACAGAGAGAGTTCTGTCCTGGTGTTCCTGGCAAGTGGGTGCGGATGTCAGCAGAGGGGTGGAATTCCACCTCTCAGGCTTCCTGCAGCTGGTTCACAGTCTCAGGTGAAATTGTCTTTGGTAACTTCTTAAACTAGTTTTTTTTTTTTTTTTTCTTGAATTAGAGAGTAAAACTTCCCACTGAAGCTTTTCTATTTTCTGAGCCACAACCTAACGTAGAAACACGTATCTTTTAACCAGTTCAGTGCAGGCTGTGACACGGCAGGAAATTAAGCCTTTTCCACTCCTCGTGTGTGAACTGTGTTCAGTGTTGCTGAGAAACTTCTCTTGGCTTCCAGGAACCTTCCAAAAGCCTGTGAGCTGTGGGAACAGATTCTCCAGGACTACCCGACAGACATGTTGGCCCTGAAATTTTCCCACGATACCTATTTTTACCTGGGCTACCAGGAACAGATGAGAGATTCTGTGGCTCGAATTTATCCCTTCTGGACACCCGAGATCCCCCTTAGCAGGTAGGTGCCAGCTGGAGATCACAACGTTTCTGTTTCTTAGTCTCTCTCCTCTGCCCTAAAAACATGGCAACTCTCCTGGCCCTGCCCTAAAACTAGTGAGACTACTGTTGTTATTTCCTAGTTCTTTATAGTGAAAAGGTGGGACTTCCCTGATGATCCAGTGGTTGGAACTTCACACTTCCATTGCAGGGGGTGCGGGTTCGACCCCTGGTCGGGGAACTAAGATCCTGCAAGCCGCGAAGCTCGGCCAAAAAAAAAAAAAAAAAAAAAGAAAAAGCGGGTTCGACCCGGGGTGGGGGAACTAAGACCCTCCAAGCCGCGAAGCTCGGCAAAAAAAAAAAAAAAAAATAGTGAAAAGGCTTCACATCTTCATTTGATCTTTATCCCGTCCTGGGAATGAGGTGGTACCATTATGTGTCAGTCAGCACAAGATAATTTTTGCCACAGTAACAAACATCCTCTAGATCTTTTTCTCCGAAGCTTATTACAACAAAGGTTAGTTTCTCACTGTCCATCATAGGAGAGCTGAGGCTCCACACCCCTGCCACTGTCGCCCTCCAGGATCCCAGCTGATGAAGTAACTGGTCTCGGGATACGCCAGCTGCTAAAGAGCTCTCCTGGGGGACTCACAATGGCATTAGTGCTCAGAGTGAAGGGTGTGCCCTGCAGCTCCCGAGTCACTGGTCAAATCCAGTCACCCACTCACAGGGGGCCAGGAAGTGCAACTCTCCTTTGGGCTGGGAGAAGAGGGAGGCCTGGAATAACCATGAACAGCCCTAGGGACCACCGCACGTGATCACCTCCGTTGCATTTTAGTCATAGGATCGTTGTGAAGGTCAAGTGGACTAACAGGTTGAAGAGCTGTGTTAGGGTTCTCCAGAGAACAGAACCAATAGGGAGTGTATATCTGTATCTACAGCTATACTACTTACATATATATATGGAGCGGGGTGGGGTGGGGTGCGGGGGGGGGGAAGGTATTTGTTTTCAGGAATTGGCTCCTGTGACTGGGGACTGGCAAATCTGAAATCACCCCAGTCTCTGCCTTCGTCTCCATGTGACTGTCTGTCCTTTGTGTGTGTGTCCATGTGTGTCTGTGTCCAAACCTTCCTCCTTCTCCTGTCTCTTATGAGGACATCGGTCACTGGATGTAGGGCCCACTCTAATCCAGGATGACCTCATCTTAACTTGAGCATGATGATGATCTGCAGAGACTCTAATTCCAAGTTAGGGCATATGTTCAAACGTACCATTTTGGGGGAGACACACTTTGACCGACACGGGTCATGTTGAGGGTTGAACGGTTCTAGTGCACTTTTTTTTTTTTTAAAGGGCTTCAAATGCTTGGCTTTTTTTTTAATCTATCTATTTATTTTATTTTATTTTTGGCCATGTTGGGTCTTCGTTTCTGTGCGAGGGCTTTCTCTAGTTGTGGCAAGCAGGGGCCACTCTTCATCGCGGTGCGCCTTCCCAGACCGGGGTACGAACCCGTGTCCCCTGCATCGGCAGGTGGACTCTCAACCACTGCGCCACGAGGGAAGCCCAAATGCTTGGCTTTTTATTTATTTATTTATTTATTTATTTATTTATGGCTGTGATGGGTCCCCGTCTCCGCGCGAGGGCCCTCTCCAGCCGTGGCAAGCAGGGGCCACTTCTCATCGCGGTGCGCGGGCCTCTCACTGCCATGGCCTCTCCCGTTGCGGAGCACAGGCTCCGGACGCGCAGGCTCAGCAGCCACGGCTCACGGGCCCAGCTGCTCCACGGCACGTGGGATCCTCCCAGACCAGGGCCCGAACCCACGTCCCCTGCATCGGCAGGCAGACCGTCAACCACTGCGCCACCAGGGAAGCCCAAGTGCACTTTTTAAAAAAATAATTTTCTTCTGTTTTCAGCTACGTGAAAGGCATCTATTCTTTCGGACTGATGGAAACTAACTTCTACGATCGGGCGGAAAAGCTCGCCAAAGAGGTAAGTGGGCCCTTCCTGAGATGCCTGAGCCCTGGTGGAGTGGGGTCAGGTGGGGGAGAGCACGCCAGGCACGCTGCACCCCACCCACTCAGGACCTCGTTTCCTACCAGGAGGGCTCATGTTAACAGAGAGGGCAGCTCCCTCCCCTTTTCCCCACCCTGGGTTTGCAAAGCCGCCTTGCTCAGGAAACTCCCCACCCAGGCCATGAAGGTGAATGAGGCCCAGGGAAGTTCCGTCCACCCCTCTTGCTTAGGGTCACACGGAGTGGCAGCTCTGCATGCCCCCCGCTCCATGTCTCCAGGGCCCACAGTTTGCGCTGCTGGACCCAGACTTTGTAGGTGGGGAAGCGAGTATCAGCGTCACTTCTCCCACCTGGGACCTCACGTGTCTAAGTGTCACTGACTTCAGCAAGCCTCCAGGAGCTGACAGATGAGTGATGAGTGAGGCTTGTCGCCGAAAATTCAATGAACGATCAAGTTAAGAAAAAAAAAAAAAAAAGGAATTTTATTCGAGCCGAACTGAGGATTGTAACCCGGGAAGCAGATTCTCAGAAAGTTCTGAGAACTGTTCAGCCTGTTAGAACTCAAAGGTACAGTCATACAGTCATCTACCTTTTGGAGACAAAGGATCGTACATCAAAATGACATCCTGATATTTTAGGTAGAGGTCACCAAGGATACATAGTCCGGATAAGCAGGGAGGAAGCAAGCAGCGAGTCACCATGACCCCCTACAGAGCTGGGGAAGAACGCATTCTTTTAAGAACTTACATTGCTAGCATCAGAAAAAAGGGAAGAATTGATGTTTACAGTCCAGCAGGTACTCCCATCTCTGAGGAGCACTGATGGATGTGTAACACACGTGCGTACTGCACATTAGGGAGGGAGGGAGGAGGCCCAAACAAGCCCAGAGAGAAAACTTTATGTTTAATTTTTCTTGTCCTGCCTTAAGATATAAATTTTATTTCATCAGACTGCTTCCAGTGGGCCCTGACCTGGCGTTGGGGTCCTGCTGGCCAGCCCTTCTCTTGAGTACCACCCCCATCCGGAGGGGGCAGAGGCCAAGGGTGCAGAACAGGGTGGGATGCTAAGCACTTCCTGCCGGCCCGGGCCCCTCCTTCCGTGCTGGTGGAGATGGGCTGGCTGGCCCCATGGACGTCCCTCGCTCGCAGGCCCGGGAGCCTCAGCATCTCTGGCTCTCAGAGTCCCTCTCCAGCTCCTCCCGTCGCGGGAGTGGAAGCTGAGTCCCAGGGAGGGGCCGCCACGCACAAGGGGGTAACAGCCGCTCCTGTGCCTGGCTCAGGGCCGGCACTCAATGTATGCGCCGCTCCCATCGGCTCGATCCTCTGCAGCGGGGCACTGAACTCCTCATTGCCCAGAGGAGGGCGACCAGGCCCGGAGAGGCCAAGGCCGTGGCCACACAGCTCACAAAAGGCAGAGCCACGGTCGCCCAGGCCACCTGAGCACAGTCCTTCTTGCTGCCTGGACAGACCTGCTCCCCAGCACCCGGCCAGGGCTCTCCCCCCCAGTCTTTGCCCGAGTTGGCTCCCAGCACCCCTCCCTGGGAGACAGCCGGCACCCTCCGGGGGCCCACAGGGCCTGTGGGGTCTCTGGCAACCACTCTACTTATAGAATAGAGCCCAGATTTGACAGTAGGATGATGGGGTCTGTGCTTTAGCCCTGAGTCAGGCCGTCGAGGGGCACAGGGAGCTTCACGGCAATCTGAGTGACCAGGCGCCGCCATCCAGGGGGTCAGCTGTAGGAAGGTTCCCCTGGAGACCTTGGCAGCTGGGCCCTCCCTTTGGGTGCCATCTATGTGGGCACCTGAGAGCTGGCAGGATGGTTCAAGAAGTCAGAGAGTGACCGAAAGGCGCAGGTTCACACCCGCCAGGAGCAGGCAGCGGTGGCATGGGGTGCCCCCCTCTGTTCCCTTCATGCCCCTTCTCCTTCAGGCGCCCACACTCTGACCCCAGCACCAGCCCACCACAGACAGTTACTGGGCGAGGCCAGGCCTCTAGGAGAGCGAGGGTGGGCTGCACAGGCTCCACTGGAGTCTGGAGAGGCCTCAGGGTGGCGGCGCGTGGGCCTTGTCTGCAGGCTGGACGCCCAGGGCAGGGAGGGCGAAGGGCAGCTGTCACGGAAGGAGAGCGGCAGCGAGTTCAGGGTCACGGAGCACTTGACAGACTGAGACTTAGGGCGGAGGTGGGCGGCCGGGTGCTGGGAGCAAAGTCTGGGGGCAGGCAGGGCCCGATCGCTCTGGCCTTGTAGACTCTGTCCCAGGGAACCTTGGGAGGGAGCCGGTCAGGAGCCCCTCAGCGAGGCGGGCGCTTAATCCCAGCAGAGGGATGAGAGCGGCCCTGCTGCCCTGAGCCTCTGCCTTCCACAGCACACTTAGCAGGTCCCTTCAGCCTGCTCAGCTGCACCCCTGGGGTCTCCTGAAGGGTCCTGGTCCTGCAGCGTTCTGCCCCACGCTGCCCGCCATTCGCTACACACGTGGCCTTTCTCTGTGTCCCCACGTGGACTGGTTGGGCCCATGCAAGTCAGGGCTGCAGCAGGGAGGTGGGGCTTGCTGGGGACCACCTGCCAGCATAGACCCCGCAGCAGGTGCCAGGCCAGGGGTGAAGCCGCTGGGCCTTCCCAATTCTGCTTCTGTGAAAGGCATGGGCGCCTGAGGTGGCAGGGCTGGGGGGACCCCGTGATCAGGTGTGGAGGACCTGGGCTCATGTGGATGGTCCACAGGCCCATGGTGAGCCTCGGCTTACTGCTCTGTGCCAGGATCAGTAGGCGCTCAGTAGCCGTGAGCTAAACTACCTGCCGTGAGATGGGAGTCGGACCTCGTGTCCCGCCTGCCATGTTGTCACCGTCAAGTCCAACAGTCATCGGAGCGGCTCTTGTTGTTCCTAGCAGTGATACCAGAACGAGCCCGGAAAGCCTTGCATGTGTGTGGTCCTTGCATGTGTGCTAGTCGGGAGGGGCAGCCGAGAGCCCCTGGAACACACACACTCGGGGCCCACTGGCCTCCACGGCAGTTGTTAGAGGAAGGCGGCCATACTTCTCACCACAGGGGAAACTGGGCAGCGACTCAGCTGTGTGCAGGAGGCTGGGGGCCAGGGGGGTGGATGAGCCCCTGCTTTGGAGAGACCCCAGTGCCACCCAGCTGTGTGGGCCCGGGCAAGTCACTTAGCCTCTCTGAACCTTAGCTTCCTCATCTGTGAAATGGGCAGTGATACCCTCTCTGGCAGCATCTGGTGTTTGGTCAACGGGCTGGTCCTTGGGGTCGTTATTTTGAGGCAGATCCCAGACCCCTTGCTTGCTTAGGCCCCTCGTGCCCCGGCACGGCTTGGGGACGCCTTGTCACTGGGCAGCCTGACTCACCTATGTTATCTCGACTTGTCCCCCCACCTGACCCCCACACCCCCGCCACGTAGGCTTTGTCTGTTAACCCGACGGACGCGTGGTCGGTGCACACCATCGCCCATATTCATGAGATGAAAGCAGAGGTCCAGGATGGATTGGAGTTCATGCAGCGCTCAGAAACCCACTGGAAGGTACGATTCGTGTCCGCCCACCTGCCTGGAAAATTCTGTTTGCTCCCCCAAGTTAAGCCAGGGATTAATGGATGGAGGTACAAGGCGCGGCTTAGTTCTGGGGAAAACTCATCTTCCACTTGGAGGCGTTTCTGTCAAGCCACCGAATCCCCTGGGAACCCCACGGCTTCCCAACATCTGCTGATGTTTTGAAGGTGTTTCTAGAATTGGTTGTGGCCTGAGGTTGTAGAAGGAATGGATGAGAAAGGGGAAACGAGAGCCCAGTGGGGGTGAAAACTGTGAGCTCACCGGCCAGCAGACTGGACACAGACCCCAGAACCACAGAGCGTCCTCAGGGAGCACGTGGTGCAGCCAGGGCTTGATGGGAGGGATGACGGCCCAGCCACTGTCAGTGGGGCTGGTGTGTGGGGCTCAGGGCCCTGGTGAGGCAGCAGCATGGATGCCATCCAGGCCCCTCAAGCCCTTCCAGACCCTTTCCTGGGGCCTTAACACCCAGGGGCCTCCCTGCTCCCACCCCCGGCGCCCGCCTGCGCCCAGCTGCTGTGGCCCTCCCTCTGCATGCGCCTGTTGTCCTTGAGTTTGTCTCTGGCATACAGCCTGGCTACCTGTCCAGGTGCGGTCTGCTGCTCTGCCCTTCTCTGTGCTATGGTGGGCTTCCCAGGGCATCGCCAGCCAAGACAGTGAGTCTCTGCCAGGGCCTGGCACCGGGCAGCAGGTGCTCAGTGATTGAGCAAACCACGGAGAGACCAGGAACCAGGCAGGGAACAGGGGACTGGCATGGTCACCTCAGTTCCTCCCAGCAGCTCCCTGGCCTAGGACAGGCCAGCGAGAAGTAATTTACAAGAAGGCAGATTCCTGGCTTCTCCGAGAGGGGTATTAAGTAGAGCAGGCGAACTGGTGTAAGAGAACCTTTGAGAACTATAATCTCGTTAGATTCACACTCAGATCTCTTTTTTTTTCTTCGGCTATGTTGGGTCTTTGTTGCTGTGCGTGGGCTTTCCTTAGTTGCAGCAAGCAGGGGCCACTCTTCGTTGCAGTGCCCGGGCTTCTCATTGCGGTGGCTTCTCTTGTTGCAGAGCACAGGCTCCAGGCGCGTGGGCTTCAGTAGTTGTGGCTCACAGGCTCAGTAGTTGAGGCTCGCGGGCTCCAGAGCGCAGGCTCAGTAGTTGTGGCGCACGGGCTTAGTTGCTCCGCGGCATGTGGGATCTTCCTGGACCAGGGGTGGAACCCGCGTCCCCTGCATCGGCAGGCAGATTCTCAACCACTGCGCCACCAGGGAAGCCCCCAGATCTTTTTTTTTTTTTTTTT